TGCGCCTTCTTGACGCACGTCGGTCACTTCCAACTGGCAACGTAACACGTAACACGGCTTGTAATGAGACGTGAACTTTACGTAAGCCTACGCAGAGATCACGAGATCTGGTGGTCTCAACACGCATCAGAGACGGAACGTGCTGCCGCCTTGGGTATGAGCGAGACGATCTATGAAGCAGACGGCTCGCTTATTTACAATCAACAGCGACGTCTTGAACGCTGGATGGAGCGTTTCAAAGCACAATTTGGCTGGCCACCCGCGCCAACTTCTCACACAGCTATTCCGGTACACGTCCCATGGTCTGTTTCAACAGACCCACCTTCTGAGGTGGAAATCCGTAAGGAGATCCTAGCCTTGGGACGTCACAAAGCGCCGGCCCTGGTGGTCTTTTCCCAGCTCTATTTAAAGATGGTGGAATAAACTTGTTAGAGAACTCTACGTCCTGTTCTCTGAAGTTTGGAACACTGAGCAGGTCCTCTCCTTGTAGGGGGGGGGGTCGATTGTCGTCCCCATCTTTAAAAAGGGTCCGCGCAATGATTGCGCCAATCATAGGGGTATAAGCCTGATCCCAATAGCGTCAGTCATTCTTCGTAGATTATACAAAACGCACGAGGAACATGCTCGAGAGGAGCAGATTGGGTTTCGTGATCCTTGATTTGCGTCTTGTGATTCCTATTGCATGGTTCGTTTTCTGAATTCCGTGCGTACCACCACTATCACTATTACTACTACTACAATCATTACAAAATCGAGCGAGGAACATGTTCGTGAGGAGCAGGTTGGGTTCCGTGCCGGTTGTGGCTACACCGATCAAATCTTCACCCTCTGACATTTGCTTGAGCACCGTCATGCTCACCGTAGACCAACGATCACTGTGTTCTTAGACATTCGCGCGGCCTTCGATTCTGTTGATAGGACCGCACTATGGAGTTGTTTGTTGGTGAATGAAGTACCAGAGGAGTATGTGTCGATCCTCAAAGATTTGTATCGCCATACCTGAGGTCGGGTTAGAGCTTATGGCCAGCTTTCACCACCCTTCGCCGTCTCCAGTGAAGTTCGACAAGGCTGCTCTGTATCCCCTTTCCTTTTCAACTTCGCCATAGAGGATGTTCTGTAGGACGCTTTGTCCGGTCTAGCAAACGGGGGAGTCGAACTCCTCTCAGGGAACACAGTTCTTGACTTGGAATATACCGATGACATCGCCTTGTTGGGTGACAATGCACAGGCAGTCCAACAAGCTTTACACCACTTGGCGATAGAGGTATCCAGGTATGATATGTGCTTTGCACCATCAAAGTGCTAGTTCAAGACTGGCAGGAGCCTGTGCTTGCACTAACCCTGTGGTGATCAGCTAGAAGCAGTTGAGAGCTTTAAGTACCTCGGGAGCTTGATTGCAGCTGGTGGGGGTGTTGAGGAAGATATCACATCACGAATAGCGAAAGCTAGAGCAGCTTTCTCCAACCTACGACACCTGTGGCGCCGCCATGACATCCGACTGTGCCTTAAGGGAAGGGTTTACATCTCCGCAGTTCGTAGGGTTTTGCTTTACGGATGTGAGACCTGGCTTCTCCGAGTGGAAGATGCTAATTGACTTTCTGTATTCGATCACCGATGTCTCCGAAGCATTATTGATGTCTGGTGGGAAAATTGGGTGAGCAATGACAAAATTCGTCATGTGCTGGGTACTGATAGTCGTTCTCTAACGGAAGAAATCGTCCGCCGCCTCGGATGGCTCGGTCATGTTTTGTGTATGCCTGCCCATCGACCACCTCATCGTGCTCTGTTTGCACGTGCCGGGCAAGGTTGGAAGAAGCTTCGCCGTGGTCAGACCATGACGTGGCGTAGAGGTATGAAGAAGTTAGCCCCATTGGCTTCGGTTGGTGCAGCTCGCCTTCCAGGCTGGGGCCCAAGGGATGAGGATTGCCGATGGCTAGAGACGCTGGGAGATATGGCTCAGAATAGATGTCAGTGGCACGATTGCTGTGCGGTTTGTTAGGCGAAACCCCGTTCTCCATAATACAAAGAAGCCGATGTAATTATATATATATATATATATGCTCGTGCGCTCAAACAGACTTCACACCCGCAACTGACTGCGGGACTACACAGTGACTCCACATCTCAAAATGAAAGCGCAACTATCCATAGTTTAGTACAAAATACTAATTGTTGTTCCATGGGATCAACTTAATGCCGTGACTAGCCTACAATCCAAATCAAACCCCTCTTTTGACAACTTTTGGAGCGTACTTGTTCACCAGATGTACACAGAGACCAGCCAATGCCTAGATCGAAAAATAAAACTTAAGAGAGTCGGAAAATCCTGATCAGGAGATAAGTACAGGTCTTGTAAGAACGATGCCAAGAAAATGTATCAAGGCAATCGGACAGAATGACTACAAGCCAAGATTTTAAGAACTATTCAGGCCGAACTGAGATAAGGAGCATATACTCCCCTCCCCTCTCCTCGCGTAGCGTTGTTTGAAATTCGGTATGCCGTATTGTACCGTGCATTTCGGAATGTTGTGAACAGAGCTAAAGTGAAAATAGAGAACTCAAATAGACTAAGGTTGCAAGAATAATGAGTAGGTGCACGAGCATCGCTGTTTGTGACATTCAGCCATTTTACTCAGTTTCTCTAACCACCGGTTAAGATGATCCCAATTCCCGATTCAGGGAACGGAATGCAATCTATATGATCGAGTCTCCTGGTTAGGGTTTTTATACCCTCATGCAAGGTCTCAGATTGACCATCCTCGGCTGTTTTCCACCCCCCCAATTGCCTCAGCCAAAAGCACGCGCTGTAGCAATCTATTTGATGACACGCGAAAAACATGCCCCAATCAAAGTAATCTATCAGTTCCTTTCAGTTTTTACAACCATTAACCATGCACTTTCGTGGGCCGGTTGTGGTTGCTATCTTTTGGTTTCCCATGTGGATAGAAAAGCAAAATGAAGATCAGAATGTTGAGAGCGAATTCAAGCGGAAGATAGCCAACTTATATAGACTACTGCTACAAGAATAATGAGTAGATGCACGAGCGCCAAAGTTTGTGACACCCAGCCATATTGCTCAGGATCTCCATCCGGGAGCCTAACGAGACCTATGTGACACGGTCTCCTGGTTAGGTTTTTCATACCTTCCTGCCAGGTCCTCGTTAGACCGCCCTTGATTTTTTTTCCAACCGCTAACTACCTCAGCAAATATCGCGCGCCGTGGCAATCTATCTGTTGACATCTGTAACACATGTCCCAACCAGCGTAATCTATGAAGTCTATGGAGGTCGATCCCTCCAGTGGGCAATCACAATTACTAAAAACTGCGCCTAACCTCGGCATCGCTTATACAGTTTCCCCACCAGACAGCGGCGCTCAAACACCGACGTTCTATCTTTATCCTGTTCCCGTAATGGCCAGGTCTCTGTGCCGCAAAGCAGCACTAGTCGAACTGCTGCAGCATACATTCGACCCTTCACAGACAGTTGGGTGTTGCGACGGCAGCACAAATGTCCCAAGTTGGTAAAAACCAATCGAGCCTTCTGTATGAGTGCTGACACTTCATCCGTGATGCGTGCACCAGGTGAGATATAGCTACCCGAATAGCGAAATTTTTTGAGTTACTCCATTACTTCTTCATTTAGAGTGAGGCTAGGTGCTGGACCAACGCAGTCCTGTAGTAACATTTTACACGTTGAAGGTGCAAAAAGCTGCTACTCGAACTATTCAGAAAAACTTGCAACTTACACGGATTTTCAGTTTGCAGTACAAAGTCGTCTGCATACTCCATATCAGAGTCTACCACATTGGAAAAAATTCCAATCCTCACACGACGATAGGGTTTATTCAACTACGTTCAGTCCAAGACCGTCACACGGGCAGATGTAGACGACGTGAAGAATCACCTGGGTATACAAGCAATCACAGCGGAGGTCTTCCGCTGTTTCTTTGAACAGATTCACAGACAAGATGGGGGACAACCAGGCCAAATCCCAATGCCGTCAATAACCGAGATCGCAATGATGCCTGAAATAGTTCTCGCCAGAGGAAGTCAAAAAACAGTTGGCGCGCCTCGAGAGAACCAAGATAGCGGGACACGACGAAATTCACACCCGCAGTAATCGGTCCACTGGCTGAGGTTCTGGCAGCTCCCCTGGCGACACTTTTAACGGGTCGTTAACCGACACAAGACTCTTTGGGCAGTGGGCACTAGCAGTAGTCACGCCGATTCATAAGGGGGGGGGACGATGAGAATGCAGCGGCTAACTATAGACCGGTCAGCCTTACATCGGTAGATCTTAAAGTAATGGAAAGGTTAATAAGGAACAGGATAGCGATTCACATTGCTGAAAACGGACTGCTATCCGCCAGGCAGCATGGCTTTTTGCCGAAACGGTCCTGTCTCACGAACCCAATCACTTTCCTTGATGAAGTGAGGTTAGATGGAGGGCAAGGAGTTGAGGTATGCTACCTCAACTTTCAGTTAACCATCGTTTCCTTCTGCGAAAGATGAATGCTTTAAACTTAGCGCCGGGAGCGATGAGATGAATAGGTGAATTTTTGCAGAACAGGTCCTTCTATGTGAGTGTGGAAGGGTGCCGGTCGACCGTAGGACGGGTAGCCAGTGGTGTACCCCAGGGATCAGTATTGGGCTCCTCTTGTTCGTAGTATTTGTCAATGACTTGACTCGAGGGCTGGAATCTCCTACCTTCTTGTTTGTCGACGACGTCAAACTCGTGGGTGACCCAGCTAGCACAGTGCTGCAAAGAGACCTGGATACACTGTTTGGATGGACAGTGGACTGGGACCTCCCACATAATGCAACAAAGTGTAGACAGCTGATGGTAGTTGTGCTAGCTATCAGAGGTGGACTGGAGGGGCAGGAAATCGTGACGAAATCTCAAGGACTTTGGAGATAAATATGGAGTGTTATGATTACTGCAGATTTCAAAATAGGTAGCCAGTGTCTGGTGACAGTCTGTCCTCAGACAAGTGTAATATATATATATATTTCACACACATCAGATTGCAGACTGTGCTAAACAAATCACGGTACAATAATATCAAGATTTCTATTGATCTCATGAAATAAATGGGATTTAACGAGAGTTGGGAGCACGCTTCCTGGTGCACAATGAAGGAACTCTATCCTAATGCAAGAACCAAGCACAAAGTTCAGTGGAGCCGTTTGGACAGAACAATTCATGTTCCCGTCATAAGGTAACAGTATTTCTATGCATGATTTACTCCTAATAACCGCCATCAAGATGACACAGTTACTGTTCCCGGTGAGTGTGATTTCACCGAACCTCACTCGCACATACTCAGCGTAGGACAATGGAGAATTGATATAATAACCTTGATGCAAGCCGACAAAACTACCGAGTGAAAACGCCGGTCAAACCTAGATATACGGTTACCTG